CGAGCCGCTCCGCCGGGCAGCGCCGCCGCGCAACCCCCGCGCCCGGGCGAGGCGGCGGCGGCGGCACGAAGCTAGCCCTCTTCCCCCTCCTCAGCCCTGGAAGAAAGGGAACTGCTCGAGCCAACTTGTCAAAATAATGCGGCTAATTACCCCTGATCTCCTTTAATGGAAAGCTGCTCTGCACGCCACAAAGGAGCAAATGAGGGATCTGCAGCACCAGCCCGGGAGCGCTGGCATTTTCTTCCGCGGAGGGCCGCGGGGATATGTGGCTCCGGAGGAGCCTCCCAGGTTTCCGCGCTCCTCCCGCGCAGCAGCGGACTCCCAGGGGAGAACCAGAGCGCCCGCGGAGCTGCGGAGGACAGCGGCGGGAGCAGCAGCCCTCTCCCTCCAAAAAGCTGGAGGACATCCCAGCCCTAGCAGACCTTGTCATATTCCGCGGGGGGGGCTTTAGCTCTATAAACCCAAGTCGTCTTCAAAACAGATTCTTTTCCTGGCAAAATGCCCTGCCACTTGCAGGACTTTAACGTGCACAGAGAGGGGAGAGTTACACTGAACAGTTTTTAGCCAGGCCGGACAACACCGGGTCTGTGTAAAGATATAGCTCAAGTCCTGCATTTGGCAGAAGGCAGGGCATTCATTTTCATGATCTCTGCCATCGGGTCTTGTGGAAAAAAAGCTGAGCGACACGATCTCTTTGACCCACTGCTGGAGCAACAAATTTATTAGAGATATAGGCGTGAGAAATGAAAAGGAAGTAAAACAATTCAGGCTCATTGTATGTCTTTCTTTCATACTGCTAATCCGGTTTACACATCACGCCTACATGTCTCAATAGGGCTTTATACACTGTGGCAAAGGCAGAACAAAATAAAAGGTGTGTGTGTGTGAGTGCGTGCGTGTGTGTGCATGTGTGTGTGAAGTAAGGATAAAAACAGAGAAGCCCAAGACATTTTAATTCAGAGTGGGCTGCCAGTTTTGTATCTACCGGCTCTTGAAAGCAAATAGGTTTTAAAAGATTCCTCCGCCTCCCCCTCCCTCCTCAGCC